TCTAGTAACGTGTATGTCTGATTCTTCCTCTCCATTTCAATGGCTTGCTGTTCTATCACCTGGGATGGTTTCTCAACAACCTGCTTGCGAGGAAATTACAACAGTGATGAAAGATTGTTAGAAGTTTCATTCCCACCAACACAGCTCAGACTGAAAATGTATACAACCACTATTCTGTTTGAGGCATTTAAAGTTAATATGTTCTCACAAGGAATGGTAATATCATTTATAAGCGCACCTTATCAAACAACTCTTGAGCAAAGGAAATCACACTCTGTTCAATTTCAATCATGCCCGTTTGCTCAAGACGACTCACGAAGTTTCTAACAGTTTAACATTTACATAGAAATAAGTACTGAAACAAGTCGGTTATTATTAAAACTTTGATATAAAATGTGTTAGAGCTTCACAAATATTTTCCTTCTGCATTATTGTTGCATAATCTGAAATTTCTTCGGAGTACACAAGAAATTATGAGACTTCTTTAAGAAATGACCACTAAATAGTAAATAGGAAAAAATGGTTTGATCAAAAATATGGTCAATATTTTGCTGATGGGTGTGTTCATCCCCTCCCTTTTCCTCCACTTCTTAGTCTTGAGTACTCACTGGCAGAGGTTCAACATAGAAGACTAAGACATGAAGGGAAAGGAAAAGGCTTGTTGCACCCAGCAGTCAAATATTGACCCAGGGAGTCATTCTGAGCAGGGACTATTTGTCAGAAAAAACAACAGGGAGAGGTTTGAAAAAAATGCAAATTCTAATTTATTTGTATAGCACTAAATCACAACAGAGATCATCTCAGGACTTGTTACAATGTAAGGTCTAGACTTTACTATTATTACTGTATTATAAAGGAAATCCAAACAAATGCCCCTTGAGCAAGCACTTGGCGACAGCAAGAAGGAAAAATTCCCTTTAATGGAAGAAACCTTCAATCTCTTGGTGGGTGACCTTCATGCCTCGACTGGTTGGGGTGAGTGGATAGAGAAGAGAGAGAAGAAAAGAAAAAGCAACAGCACACAAAAAACACAACAAATAACAATCAAATACTGGGCAGGGTGGTGTAGCCGGTGACTGTTCATCAGAAACGTAGAGCTCCAGAACCAGGGCTACCATGCAGAAAGGTACTGAGAAAGAGAGAGAGGACACACTATGGGAGAGAGGAGACACACAGTTAGTGACATGTAAGAGTGGCATATAGATGCATGGAGAGAGAGGAGAGGAGAGGAGAGGAGAGAAACTCAGAGTATCACTGGGCCCCCCAGCAGTCTAGGCCTATAGCAGCATAACTAAGGGAAGGCTCAGGGTCACCTGATCCAGTCCTAACTATAAGCTTCATCAAAAAAGAAAGTCTTAACGTCTAATGCTCAAGGTACAGAGGGTGTCGGGCCTCATGAACTGAGGTGGTACTCCACTAAGTGAGAAGAGTTTTTCTTAGCCTGGAAAGATAGTTTAATTACATATAAAAAAGCCCTTGGTAGTGCCAGAACTGCATATTATTCAACACTGATAGAGGAAAATATGAACAACCCAAGATTTCTTTTCAGCATTGTAGCCAGGCTGACAAAGAGCCACAATGCTGTTGAGCTTAATATTCCCTTAGATCTCAGCAGCAATGACTTCATGAGCTTCTTTACAAATAAAATCACAACTATTAGAGAAAAATTTTATCAAATCATTCCCACAACTCTCACAGATGTGCCATCAAGTACAATAGCTTTAAAATATCTGTAAGACCTCATTTATACTTAGACTGCTTCTCTCCCATAGATCTCTCTGAGTTGACCTCAACAATTGCTTCATCTAATTCATCAACATGTCTCTTAGATCCCATCCCATCAAGGTTCTTTTATTGTCATTCTACATGTTTGACACATGAAGAACGAAATTAGTCACTCAGGACCATCATATATTAAAAGAATATAAAATAATAATATGACAATAAATAAATACACTAAATGATAAAACCTAAATGTAACAACAGCATTAAAACAAATTGACATCATATTTAAAATGCATTAATCCATCAAAGAGGCCTAGAATTCATAATTCTCACAGCTTCTGGTAGGAAACTGAATTTAAGCCTGGTGAGCTTGGCCTTGATGCTCCACAGCCTCCTGCCTGAGTGAAGGAGTTCAAACAATACATTCGCTGGGCATTTGGGGTCATTCATGATGGAGGAGGCTCTGGTCCTGCACCTGCTGATGTAGATGTCCTCAATGGAAGGCAGACTGCAGTGTATAATGGTTTTGCATCACTGGTGGGGATGAAGCAGCCTATAGGAGGGAGGTAGCCAGTTTGGTGTCATGTTGCGAGAAAAACAATCTCACCTTCAACACGGACAAGATGAAGGAGATGATAGTGGACATGAGGAAGGAGAGGAGATCTCATCAGCCACTGTTTATCCGGGGGTTCGAAGTGGAGAGGGTGAGCAGCTTCAAATACCTGGGTGTCCACATCAGTGAGGACCTCACTTGGACACTTAACACCACACAGCTGGCCAAGAAGGCCCAACGACAGCTGTACTTCCTGAGGAGGCTGAGGAGGTTTGACATGTCACCTAGGGTCCTCAGCAACTTCTACAGCTGCATCGTCGAGAGCATCCTGACCAGCTGCATCACTGTCTGGTATGGCAGCGCAAATGCCTGCAGAGATTGGTAAAGACTGCAGAGAAGATCACCAGGACTCCACTGCCCTCTCTGCAGAGCATTTACCACCGCAGGGTGCGTAGGAAAGCTGCCTCCATCCTCAAGGACCCCATTCACCCCCAGCATGAACTGTTCACATCCCCACCCTCTGGCCGGAGGTTCAGAAGTGTGAAATACAGGACCTCTAGGCTGAATTGCACATGAATAATTGCACACTCACTGCTGAGTATTTGTGCACACAGCTCCCATGTAGCATACATTCGCTCCTCATTATATTGTGTTCTTGTTATATTTTTATTGTGCTTCTTTCATTGGTTGTTTTAAAGTGCCTTAGATTTTGTGTTACCTACTTGTATACTTTATATTTCACTTACTGTATATTTTGTGGCATTCATGTGGACGGCAAAGTAAGAATTTCATTGTACAAGGAAACATGTTTCCTCACTGTGCATATGACAATAAAGCATGAAAGCATGAAATGTTGTACCTCCGTACAGGGCGGACTCAGCCCAAGAAGAGAAATGTAACCATAAAAATATAACTCAGAGTTAGCTCTGTCTCTGTTAGAAATTAATAAATCAGTCAGATAATTATTAGACTTTAATGTGTTAGACTTTAATGTGTTATTAATGCAGTTTAGTAAGATTCAAAGTCTGCTCTAGTCTGCTCTGTTTCAAGGTTAGCAGTAAGCCATGACACCAATTGTTTTCTTGTATTAATCTTGTGTAAGAATTATGTCTGAATGATTGTTTTAGTTACACACCACGTAACAACAACACACACACACACATGGAATTCTTCATTTTGTTATGACTAGGTAATACGCAGCTGCTCCAAGCCTGTGGAGCTCTAGATAAGAGATGGAGTCTGCAGGACAGACTTCATCTGTGTAAGGGGTTAGCCCAAAACTGATAAATGTATTGGGTTCTGTGTTTCTGGGATCTTTTCTTCTGTTCTCTTCTCCAGCAGTTTGTCTGAAGGAGGAACAACCCGGATTGTGTTCTGTAATCTTTATTTCATATATTTTTGTAAATAAACCAGCACTAAAATCAAGAAAGATGGACTCCTTTGTTATTCAGATCTGTCCAATAAAAGAACTGGGGTATTACATCTCTCTGATCCCAGCGCTACCTTGTCTGACCTGTGCCCAGACTTTGAATAATTTTTCTGTTGATTTTATACAGTTATGCTTGTGTACCTGGCTGTGCAATCAAGGGTAAGTTGCATGTACAGCAGGGGGCTTAGGACACATCCCTGGGGGGAGCCGGTATTAAGCATGATGTACAAGGCTGAGATACTGTGGACCTTAACCGTCTGAGGCCTGTTGGTCAGAAAGTCCAGGACCCAATTGCAGAGGGATGACTTTACACCCAGCAGCAGGATGATTTTATTAAATGCAGAACTGAATTCCAGGAAGAACAGCTTGACATAGGTGTCTGCTCTCCAGGTGGACAAGAGCAGTGTAGATGACGTAGATCAGTTCTTCCTGTAGGCGTACTGATGGGGGTCTGCAGTGGTGGATCATATGTGGTCCACTCTCGTCCATATTAGATCTGATTAATCTGATTAGATCTAAAAAGATGGCGCTCTCCTGCGTGCGACATCACAGCATCACTCTCCGGGCTAAGTTATTTCTTTTTTTTTTTTCTATTTCTGGCTTATTTGTGCAGTGTTGTTGCCATAGTAAAGACTGCAAACTTTATGACCAGTCGACTTTACTACAGCTAAAACAGTTTAGTCATCTCAGAGAATTTGACCCGAGCACATTGGACTCTTACACAGAGCTAACATGCTATGTTGACACGATGCCAGGCCAACCCCCAGCAGGCAGTTCTTTGGCTGGCGACAAGCCGAAATGGAGAAGAGGTAGATGGGGAGGTGTGGAGCGAAGGCTCCGGCGTTTGGTTAGGAGGGGTAGGCAAACCCTCCTGGCTATACTGTTTGCAAATGTCCAATCTCTGGATAATAAGATGGATGAACTCTGTGCTTGTATTTCCACACAGAGGGACATACAGGACTGCTCCTTGCTGTGTTTTTGTGAGACATAGCTGAGTGGAGGGACACCTGATGGAGTAATAACTCTGAATGGCTACTCTGCATTCAGACAGGACCGAAGAGCTGCAGAAATGCTTTTCTCTCTCCTCTATCCACCCAACCCAACCGGTCTCTCTCTTGTCTTTGCTGTTTTTGCTGCTGCTGTTATACAGTGTGCAGGGTGTTTTCTGAAAATAAAACATGAACAATAAACCACATAAAGAAAAGTGGAGCCAGCGATTGTTGTTGTTCTCGAGATGGCCACGGGGGGCAGTGAGCGCTGCAGCCTCTGATGCAGCTCTGCTCTTCTTCAGCGATTTTACGTGACGTGTTTCCACTTTCTGCTTTGCTGTGCATCAAGCTCACTTAGCAAAACATTTATTGATTACTAAATGTATTTGGCGTTTTGTCGGGTGAGGTTAATGTCACAGATAAGTAGCTTTACATGGCTACGGAGAGATGTGTGTACCAACTAACCGTACTTACGGGGGACTTATGAGCTACATCTCAAGTTAATCCCTCATTTCTAGCTAAAGTTATCTAACTCGCAGCCTGCTACTGCCGTAACAACAGCGTTGTTTGAGTGTTTTAAGACGTGGTAAGTGAAATTTAAGGGTGTAGTTTGTTTCATTGCCTCTGCTTCTCAGACAGCATACAATAGCTGTATAAATTTAGGTACGTGAACTACGCCTGTTTTTGAGGCCCTTGTATTCTGAACCGATTGAGTATTTAGTCAGATACAGTTTGCTGTGAGCATCAGTCTGGCATACTCTACCGACAGCGGTCTTATTCACCGATTTGAATTTGTTTGACAACACCTTGTTGGAGGAAATTGTGTCGGTATGGTCTTGCTTGGTTTGCAGAAAGTCATGGAGCCAGCACATCATTATAGGTCGTTATGAAAGTTACAGTGCATGTCGTCTGGACATGCTGTTGTGAAATGGTTTTCGTAGAACTCGAGTGTGAGGTTGAATGGGGGGTAATATTAGAAAATAAACACGTGTGGACCACTTTTATTTAAATACAGAATTGTGGAAACGTTAAAGTATATGGTGATGCCACAAATATTTATTAATGAACTTCACAGAAAGTAAAATCAGTATTAAGTGTGACAGCGCCTTTGTCTTTAGAATAGCACCAATTCATTGTGTACGCAGTTTTTCTAAGTACTTGGGAGGTATGTTGTACCAAGCATGTTGAGAGCTTGCCACAGTTTTTCTATGGGTTTAGGCTTTCTCTGTGTCATCTGACTCTTCACGTAATCCAAGACTGCCTCCGTGATGTTGAGATCTGGACTCCCTGAGGGTCAGACCATTTGTTGTAGGCCTCCTTGTTGTTTTATAATATAGTTCGTTGAACCTCAGGCTATGCGTTTCGGTTTTCCCGCTGCAGAATGAATTTATGACCTATCAGATGGCTCCCTGGTGGTATTAAATGATAGAAGAGTCTAATTTGTTTGTAATTAATTTGTTTTATTTGTTATGTTTTATTTGAACAGCATTGCACAGATGTGAATTTCTCATCTGGGGTTCAATAAAGTCTTAATTCAAAACATTTTTGATCAAACTGTTTTTACCTCTAAAAACTTGGTCAAATCCTAAAGATGTCTCATCATTTCTTGTGTACTCCATAGAAATTTCACAGATTATGCAACAATAATGTAGAATGAAAGTATTTGTGAAGATCTAACAAATTTTATATCAAAGTTTTAATCATAAATGTCTTGTTTCAGTACTTGTTATTTCTATGTAAATGTTAAATTGTTAGAAACATTTACAGTCATTTGACATTGCAGTACAGTAACCAGTAGTTTCTGTAATTTCCTGCCATATATCTACACCTGGATTACAGATGACCATGTTCTCTGCTCCCTCAGCAGGCACCATGGCCAATCTGGAGCAGTGGGTGAATGACCGCCTCCATGACATCCTCGGGTTGAGTGACAAATACGTATCTCAGTTCATGATTGGCACTGCACGGAAAGCGTCAAGTCTTCAAGACTTCGTGAGCCGTCTTGAGCAGATGGGCACGATTGACATTGAACAGAATGTGATTGCCTTTGCTCAAGAGTTGTTTGATAAGGTGCGCTTATAAATGATATTACCATTCCTTGTGAGAACATATTAACTTTAAATGCCTCAAACAGAATAGTGGTTGTATACATTTTCAGTCTGAGCTGTGTTGGTGGGAATGAAACTTCTAACAATCTTTCATCACTGTTTGTTATAGATTCCTCGCAAGCAGGTTGTTGAGAAACCATCTCGGGTGATAGAACGGCAAGCCATTGAAATGGAGAGGAAGAATCAGACATACACGTTACTAGAGGACAGCGACAGCGATGGAGATGCAGTGAGGGAGAAGCAGAAAGGGAAAAAGAAAAGCAAGGACAGAGGAAACAAGAGGAAGCACATCAGACAAAAGAAAAAGAGCGAGTCTTCTAGTGAGGATGAAGTACCTAAGAGGTAATTTAGTACCAACTTTAATTGGTTTATTTGAGTTTGCCTGGTATTGTTCCATGCAATAACATATGTTTGTGTAAAATGTTAATAGCAGAGCAGGACAGGCCCTCTCAGGGCAGATTTTTCTGACATGCTGCAAATATCTTCAGTAACATTTGGGGAGAATAACAGATTTTAGTTCTATATTATATCTATAACTGTGCTGTAGAGTTAAAATGCCTACATTTTTTGAGGGTTGCCAGTTCCAAAAATCAAAAAGTAAACAGTTAAAATAATTTTATTCTTGCATGTCAAAATTCCAGACATGTTCATATGTGCGACCCTAATATGTGCCACTGCAGCTAGTCCTGTTAAACTGAGATTTTATCCTAGAGAAAAGAGAAGCGCCTTTAAAACAGTTATCATCACAGAACCATTCAGAGCCTTTTAAACTGGTAGTAAAAAGTTTTAGAGTATGATGCATTGCTTTTTCAATTATCAGGGCTGATTTGGGCCAGCCTGTCAAGAAGGAAGAGGAGGAAGAGGAAGAGTGGGAGAATGAAGAGAGAGAGCGATTACAGGACATTGAAGAGAGAGATGCATTTGCAGAGCGAGTGAGGCAAAAGGACAAAGACAAGACTCGCAACATAGCAGAGAGGACTGACAAAAAGGTGGGGGACAAAGGAATCACAGTTCAGCCGATGCATTTTCTTTTTTGCCCACTATGTCATGGTAAACAAGCATGTAAACAACTTCACCTTTTATTTGCCTTTGTCAAGGCTTATGAGGAAGCTCAGAAGAGGCTGAAGATGGCTGAAGATGATCAGAAGAATATGGTAAGTGCTCTGAGTTGGGGGGTGTGTGATATATATCGCATCTACAATAATATTTTAGTTGATGTTTTATCTGTGCCAGATGGCATTATCGAGTACGTCACTCACTCACTTTACAAAAACAACCAAAAACATGCCTTGAAAGTCCAATGCATTCCCTGCATTATGTAGCCTAGTTTGATAGACTCCCGCCCGTGTGCATTGATATTGCACGCAGCCTGTATATGATAGTGCTGTCACCCAAAAATAGGGGTCTTAGAATGTTTTGTTTTGGGGAATAAAGTAAAAAAAGGAGTTCTAACTGTTTTGTAAAGTTTCTGATCCCTTGTCCCC